TACTATCGCTCCAATTTTAACGGATGTCCCCAAGGACTTGTTGTAATTCCGCTTTCCTTACAAGGAGACATGTCTGCAATAACCCATGCCATATGTCTCGTGGAAAAACTTAGGGCCAGCTCGGCCGCCCTCAGCCCAGGCCGAAACAAGGGGCAAAAAAACCCCACACGAGGACTCAGGGCCTGGACGTGTGGCAGTTGACTTTGGTCAACTGTCGAGATCCCAACAGTCAAAGTCCAAAGGTACCTAGCCCAGGCCGCTGGTCAAGCACACACGCTTGTTTGTATGCAGGTACCCAGACAGCATCAGGTCCAAGGGAGAAGTCTGCAACTGCACAATCCGGGCCCTCGGCTGTGAGTCAATCTGGACGACTGTGGGGAAAGCACCCGAGGCCAGACAGCCTCGACAATTGCTACTTAAGGCTGGCCTCGACTGAGTCAAGCATTCAGTCTTGCTATGCTGCTTTGACGCTGGCTTGACTTTGACTAGACACTGGCTTTATGCTGGCAAGACGCTGGCAAGACGCTGGCTGTGCACTGGCGATGCGGACGACAGCACAAGGTGAAGGCAGCACACTGGTGCTTTCTGCATTGTGCGCGAGGCTTGCTGAGATGGCATGCTGATGTGGCGCTACCTCTGGTCTACATTGCATGCTGATGTGGCGTTACCTCTGGACTACATTGCATGCTGATGTGGTGCTACCTCTGGTCTACATTGCATGCTGATGTGGCGCTACCTCTGGCCTACATTGCATGCTGATGTGGTGCTACCTCTGGTCTACATTGCATGCTGATGTNCTGATGTGGCGCTACCTCTGGTCTACATTGCATGCTGATGTGGTGCTACCTCTGGTCTACATTGCATGCTGATGTGGCGCTACCTCTGGAGTACATTGCATGCTGATGTGGTGCTACCTCTGAACTACATTGCATGCTGATGTGGCGCTACCTCTGGTCTACATTGCATACGGATGTGGCACTGCCTCTGATTACAGTGCATGCTGATGTGGTGCTGCCACTGATCTTCATTGATGATGTGGCATATGCCACCTATCTCGACTGCTGACGTGCCACTGTCCACGCTGTCTACATGAGGTGACTGGTTGCAAGGAAGAGGAAGATCGGGATCTGTGGATGAAGGAGATCGGGTACTCACCTGAGGTTGACGTCGTCACTGGAATCTACTATGTCCTCATGGTCTTCACGAGATAAAGTGACATGTGATCAGGAATATACTTATTATCATTGTTGACGTGGAGAGGGAAGAAGCCCGGAGAAGGAGAGGGATCTGAAGGGATTATCATTATTATTGTGTGATCTTTCGAGGCTCGTTCGACACTCCTCGGGCGCGTAAAGTCCCCAAGGAATTGTTCGTTCCACTTATCCTCGGGGTTGCAGTCGGAAAAAAAAAAGTGAAAACACTCCGAAGCAGTGCTGAAAACCCGGTAGGACCGGGGGG